TCAAATGGATAATTTGGTTGTGCTGCCTAGTGTTGAGTGTGTGCACAAGTAGTAGTTGCTTGGTTTAGCAAAAACACATATCATGTCTTAGCTAAAACATCATTTGCTTTGTTTATGATTTGGTCTGTGTAGCTCTATGCTAAGCTTATTACTCATTTTGAAATAAGACTTTGGGAAACTCTGACATAAGTACTCGGTAACAATAACATAAGGCAATATATGGCGCGCCAGGCGTGGCCCTATGCGGAATTCTTTCCTTTAATGTAGACTCGCCAAAATGATGTGTATGCCTGCCTCCCACAATTTGACAGCTCTATAGTATGTCGTGTGCCTGAAGGCGCAAAGCAAAACAAAACTTGCAATAGCTTTCTCTGTGACATGATTACAGCAAGAATCATGCGACCGGCGCCATCCCAGGCGACCCCCACGTTTCCATAACCGGCGCCATCCCACACGTACGGCACGGCAGCGCGAGTGCGGGCGGTGCGGTGCGGGGCGTCCCTGTCTGTCGCGTCGCGCCTTCCTTCTCGAAACTCACGTCGCCCCGCTTGTCCGCACCGCACCGTCTCGTCGGCTTGCGCTGCGCCGCGACGCCTTTTCCACCGGACGTCCACGTCCACGTCCGTGTCCCCTGTGACAATGGGCGTGACGTCGCGCCAGGGGCGAGCGAGTGACTCGTTCGGTTGGTGCGTGGCGGCACCCGGGGACAAGGAGGAGCCGACCGAGCTCTCTTCCGGCCGCGGACCGGCGCGCCCGGCAGCCGGAAAAAAAAAATTATATGAGACCAGGTCTCATGGTTAGCAGGTGAGACCCGTCCTAATGGATGACACGTGGTTAGCAGGTGAGACCCGTCGTATGAAAAAGCATCTAATCTTTTTTCCCCCTATTTTAAATGGGGAGTGGGGGATGCTTTGTGGTTTTGTGAATGGCACGTGTCAACCATCAGAATGGGCCTCGCGTGAGACCTGGTCTCATAGAATTCTTTTCCAGCAGCCGGTGGCGATGTTTCGAGCCACGGTGCCGGAGCATGCAGCGGCAGTGGCGACTGACGGACCTGTTTCCAGCCATTGTCGAGGGACCGTGAGGCCTTATACAATGCTAGGTGATCAGAGAGATGCTTAGAAAAATAAACCAGGTATTCTAAAGCATCGGTGCCTATTTATACAGGAGAGACGCCTAATTAAGCGTCTACCCTGTGTAAATAAGCACCGATGCTTAAGAAAAGTCTGATTTATTTTTTCAAACATCTTTTCTAAACACCTTTGCATTGTACAAGGCCTAAGGCCAACTCCACCGCACGACCCCAAACAAACGTTCGATTTGGCCGGATTTTGTTTCTTTGTGGCAGTAATGGATTCGCCCATGTCCGTGTCTGTTCGTTGGATCGTGGGTGCGTCCAAGCGTGGCCGCACCCCAAATCATGTATGTGTTGGATGTGATTAAAAAACAGAAAAACTAAAATAAAATGATTAAGAAAAGTAAATAAACGCAGTTAAAAAAACTTAAAACATAAGTTCGGGTTCACGGCCACAAAACGGCCCAGTTTCACGGTTCACATTGCCATAATTAACATAAAAAATAAAATAAGAACGGCCGCCGCCCGCGCGCTCCTGCCGTGCCTGTCAATGCCGTCGCCGTTGCTGTCTTTAGTGGCCACCGGTGTCGTCATCGTCGCTGACGAGGCCGAGCTACTTAGGCGGCGGCCAGAGGTGGGCCGGCGGAGCGTGGTGGACGGGGGTGGGCTGGAAGGCGGGAGGTGCCTGCACCACCTCCTCCCGTGGCGACACGTCCCGCTTCGGTGACCGCGGCGGCGTGGGGCACCAGTTCGCGACCCCACGGCGTCGGCCATCTCCGGAGCCGAGCACAACCAGCTCCAGTGCTGCCCAACCAGGGCCGGGTGGAACGCGGTCACCAACTCCTCCTCCGCCCTCGCCATATCCAGCACGGGGATGGCGACGTCGCCGACCGCAGATAGGGCCATCGTCTCCTCGAGGCCCGGCCATTGGCGCTCATCGTGCGTGTTCATGGAGTCCTCCATGACACATTGCATGAGCCGGGCCTCCTCCTCCGCAGTCATGCGAGGAGGTGAAGGTGGCGACGAAGATGGGGACGGCGACGGCGTGGGCGTGAGGCCGCGCACCCGCGTACGCCCGCGCACCTCCCGATGTGGCCGCCGCGGCCCCGACATCGTGTCGTCGAAGTAGGAAGCGCGCCGCACGTCGTGCTCGTCCTGGAGCCACGTTTCCCAGAGCCCGGAGTCGGGGGCGTACCTTTCGTCGTAGTAGAGGTCGTCGGGGAGGAGACGGTGTCGGTGCGTGATCTCATCGTGGCGCGCACGCCCGCTCATCGGTGCCGGCGGGATTGGGACCCGGTCGGCGGAGAGGTGCCAGTTGTTGGGCAGGTGGACGTCGCTCCACATGACCGGCGTCCGCGTCTCCCAATAACGTCGGCATACGTCCATGCCCAGCTACTGCCGGTCGCGCTCGCCGACAGCCCTAGGGGCGATGCTGAACGGGGCAGGCGCGGGGGCCCTACGCGGTGGCGAAGCGGCCTCCTCTTTCACGGAGCCGCGGCGGCACCCCGAGGAGGAGCTGGCCTCGCAGTCGTGCTTCCTTTTGCGGCCGTGGTTCCAGAACCCCATGGCTGCGAGGCGGCCGACCGACGAGCTCGAGGACGGGGAGAGGCTAGGATTTTAGGGGTGTCGGGTTTCGAGGAGGCAGCTGGCTGGAAGTGGAAGTGTAGACGACGACGACCGGTCCACGGCCTCCCCATTTAAGAAGGACGATGACTGTGCGCCTGGGCGGATGACAGGTAGGGCCGATCACGCATGCGCATTGATGTGGGAGGGTGGGAGGTAGGTGGTCGCCTGTCACGCAGCCCCGTCGCGGACGAGCATCGCGTCCGTTTGCTGTCCGCCGTGACCCAAACTGGACGCATGTTTGCGCTCAAAATGGGTCGGCGCGGACACAAAACGGATCAGATGGGTCCAGGCCATCACGCGCTAGGCCGTCTGATTTGTCCCTTTTACCCCAAACGGACGGGACCGAACGGGATGGCGTCGCGCGGTGGAATTGGCCTAAGAGCGTCTCCAGCCGCGCCCCAAGAAGGCCCCCCGGGCGATTTTTCGGCCGCCGGCGATGAAAAATCGGCCCAGTCGTGCCCCCAAAGGCCCTTTTTTCGCCGGCTCGGGTCGAAATTGACGCTGGCCGACCCAGGCCGAACCCGACGCGCTGGGGGACGCCAGCCGAAACATTTTTGGCGCAAAAATCGGTGGACCCTCCTTGGCAGCGACTCGGCTCTTCTCGCCGCTTCGTCGCCCTCATCGCCTCGGTCCCCGTGGCGGAATTGATGCCAAAGCTGCCACGCCGGTCAGCCTCCTCCATTGATGCCTCACAGGCGGCGCAGTGAAGACGGGACGACGCGTGTCCCTCGCCCGCCACGCGTACGCGCGGCGCATACGCCTACGTAGGTGACTGGTTCGTTGGTGCGTGGCCGTGGCGGCACCCGAGGACAAGCAGGAGCCGACCGAGCTCTCTTCCGGCCGCGGACCGGCGCGCGGCCGGCAGTTGGTGGCGAGGTTTCGAGCCATCGTCAAGGGACCGTAACGCCGTAGTCTTCTCCACCTACGCCGGTGCAAATTGCACTCGTGCGGTCTCGACCACTCCGTGCGACAGACTCACAGCGCAGACGCGTTCGGGTTAGCTGCACATCAGGGCATCTCCAATGTTTTTTTAAACACAGTACAGACACAAGCGCTCGTATACACGCACGCACACTCACCCCTATGAACGCACAGGGTATCTCCAACGTTGAACCATCAAAACGCCCGTAAATGCTTAGGTCGGGCTGTGCCGTCCGAGCATTTTTACGATTTTGACGCGGATCACCGAATCGTGTCAGACCATTCGGACGTCCGAAATCTTGTAACGTAAGCCGGGTCTACATCAAGGGTGCTCTTTCGAAGAAGTCATCGTCTCTTCATAGGATTTTGTTGGTCGAAGTATCGGTGCGCGCGCCTGTTTCGTCCGGCTTTATATCGGCATCACTCTTCACAAGTCTATTATTTTGAAGACTGGTTTTTCTTCTTCGAAAAGCCGGTCTCCGCATCAGGGTAATGCATAAATTTATTTTATTAATTATTCGTCAAGACCTTATAAAGTTGGGTGTGCCTAGGTCTAAGTCAAGTCTCAGCCAAATGACATAGTATATAATAATAAGAAGAAAAATAAAATAAACAATTGTATGAATCTCCATGCAAGATCAAGGGGGATATAGCATCGACTGAGACATAACGAAGACTCGGTCGACCGAGACTTAACAAAACTGCACAAAGTAATACATCAATAAGTCTAAAGCCAACCGGGGAGCAGTTGGGGGCTCCGGCGCAAGGGAAAAGCATGGCTGGCCCACGCCGTCAGGGGAAAAGTCAAGGTCTTCTTCCCCGATTCGCCTCCCACCCCCCGTGCCCTCGGCCACCACTAGCTATATCCCGGCGCCGCCCGCCGCCCTTCACCACTAGATAGCCATTC